CGAATCACCTCCAAGTATACCTCGTCGATCGATTAATATACAATCAGTTTTCACTGTCTCAACCATTCTCAAACTACAACTTCCACTCGTTAATTAGAGGTTGTCCTTCTTGTAGGATGTATTGTGTTGTCTTTGGCAAATCCGCTCTGGGTAGTGAAGACGAGGATGTGTCTGCAATATGAAACCTTAGCTAATCAACGAGTTCCTACTCTGACTACCTGGGGCCACCTGGTCTCGTTATGGCGACTAGAGGGTGTAAAGGGCCTGTATCGTGGTTTCGTCCCGGCTCTCATGGGCAAGAGCAACCTGGCTATTCAATTTCTTCTCTACGAGGAGATGCGCAACTATTATAACGGAACCTACTTCCAGCGGCCCATTGATACTCACCTGGTGCGTATTTTTTACCTGCTTTTCTGTCATTGCATTATTAGCTTTTTTGTGATAGTTTCCTTATACCGACGAACACTGTTAGTTAGTTTACTCATCTTACTTTACTCATCTACGATGCTATGGATTTTTGTACACCAGAATGCCAGGTCTGAGATAAAGCCGTGGACTGAAAGTCGTTGTTAATACTGGTTGCCTATTCGTACTGCACTGTTTCCGAGGTCAGAAGTTACGTCGAAAGACAGTCAGATAGCTCGAATAACTGTTAATAATGCACGCACCAGAGTTAAGAAGTTATATCAAATGACAGCCAGTCGGTCGGATATTCTTTATATGTCAAGAGACAGTCAGGGTAACTCGGTGTGACTCTACAGAAATAAACAGTAATATTAACAGTGCATGGTAGGTAGAAAAATGCGAGGTAGCAAACAAAGGAGGGTAGACGTACATTCTAGGTGCTTAGACGAGCAGTCGTGAATGACAGACTCGTTGCTGCCAGTTTATAAGGGCATAAACACACCAGTCCGAACGAACGAGGAAGCGAATAAGGACACGGTGCGGGGAACAGAGACCGTGGGGCGGACGTGAACAGAGGCAATTCTGCGCCGGAAAGGGA